AATTGTAGGACATATTAAACAGGAACTAGGGGAAAATATTTATTATAGAGTTAGCAGTATGAGAGGACGACACAGAGACCCCTAGTCGGGGATCAGGCAGGATTTGTAAATTTAGGGTAATGCTGAAGCAGTCTGTAGTCATATCTTAGGAACCAGTTTATCATCTGACTTTGGAACAGATGATTTGGACTGGCATAGTTTTTCTGTTTTGCAAGTTAGTGGAATTCATTTTATAAGTGGTTTCTGTGTCGTGTTAACTAGTTCTTCAGAGTTGACATCAGGGTGTTTTTAATTTATGAATACCCTCTTTCTGGTCACCTAACTAAAGCTGAGTGTTGGGCCATTATCATCTGGAAACGTGATCAGTCTGTGTCAGTGCTCTTGTTCATTGGGTGTGTCAGTACTCTTGTTCATTGGGTGTGTCAGTACTCTTGTTCATTGGGTGTCAGTACTCTTGTTCATTGGGTGTGTCAGTACTCTTGTTCATTGGGTGTCAGACTTGTAATGGTAGTAGTTTTGGTCTCTAGCACCATGCTTTCTGGTTCTTCATATTGTGTGATCGATCATGTATTGAGTCCTTTGGTATCACAGCAACTGCACAGCAGTATTTGGGATCACACCTTTGGCCATTGCAACAAGGATGAACTCTAGAATATGGCTTATCATATTATCTATTATTTATCATAATCTGTAATTAGTATTTCTTAAACAATAACCAAGTGACTTTTACCATTAGTTTGAATATAGATTACGTACTCAAATTTGCTTTTATCTGAAAAATTAGTTATGTACGGACTTGACAGAATGAGAATTTTTAGAACATGGAGACTAAAAGTACAAGTGTCTACTAATCATTTAGAATGATGTTTTCCACAATGGAGCCATATATAGCTATATTTAAATTATTTAAGATAATGCTTAGTGGTGGTTTTTGTAAAGGTTTGCACCCAGCAAATGAGGTTCCCATTCAAAACGTTTATTCTCCTCACGCTCTATGTGCACTAAGAAGATTGGGCTTTTGCTGTAGACACCCAGCCCCTTTGTTTTTCCCCTCTCTAGTTTTCGTTTTTCATGTTTTCAGAATAGCCATTTATAACCATCTGTCATCTGGATGACTGCACTTCAGCTTGAATTGGTGTTTGGGATGGTGTTGGAGTAGATAGGATTGCTTCAGTTGTCACATTCACTGTGATAGTCTTCTCCTGGAATGATTTGAGCCACAAAAACCCCTTCAAGCCATTCTCTCTCTGTCCTACAGGGTTGATATGAGTAGGATTGGCCCGATAGTGGGTTTGCTTGGGCTTTTAAGGTGAGAAAATCATAATACTTTTCATGATTTGTGTGAAATGTGCATTGGCGCCTTGTTTATCATTGAATATTTGTGACTTATAGCTAGAATGTAAACATCATGTGAACCAGGAGTTTTGTTAGGTTTATCCGTTAAGGTCTACTTCTCTTTCCCCATTGAAGCAATTTTTATTATTAGTATTATTTCATTTGACATTTAGTTGTTGTTGCTAGGTACCGTGGAGTTGGCTGTGACCCATAGGGACCGTATACGCAACAGAACTAAACAATGGCCGGTCCCGCGCCATCCTCACAGTTCTTCCTGTGCCCGAGCCCAGTGTTGCCGCCACCGTGCCAGTCCATCTCCTTGAGGGCCTCCCTTTTTCACTGCGTCTCTCCTTTTCCGAGCATGATGTCTTTCTCCCAGGGTTGGTCTCTCCTGACAACATGTTCGAAGTATGTAAGATGAAGCCTTGCTACCCTTACCTCTAAGAAATATAGCCCTACTTCTGAAACAGGTGTTTGTTCTTTTAGTAGCCCTTGGTATTTTGAATATTCTTTACCAGCACCACAATTTAAATGCATCTATTCTTCTTCAGTCTTTTTTAGTCAATATCCATTGTTCACATACATTTGATGCAATTGAAAATACCATGGTTTGAGCCAGGCTCACCATAGTCCTCAAAGTAACATCCGTGCTTTTCAATACTCTAAAGAGGTCTTGTGCAACTCTCTGCGACTCTTTACCTAATGAAACTCTTCTTTCATCTCCTGAATGCTGCTCCCATGAACATTGATTATGAATTCAAGCAAGATGAAATCCTTGATCAATTCATTCTTTTCTTTGCTTATCATGATGTTACCTATTCGTCCAGTTGTGGGCATTTGGGCCTTCTTTACACGGAGTTATAATCCACAATGAGGGCTGCAATCCTTGATCTTCATCAAGTGCTTCAAGCCCTCCTCTCTTTCAGCAATCCAGGTTATCTGCATATTGTGGGTTGTTCATAAACCTTCCTCAGATCCCGATGCCACGTTCTTCATATAGTCCAGCTCTTCTGATTACTTTCTCAGCATAAAACTGAAATGACTAAGTATGGTGAGAAGATCCAACTTCGATACCTTTCCTGATTTTAAACCATGCAGTATTATCTTGTTCTGTTTGCACAACTGCCTCCTGATCCATGTGCAAGTTCCACAGGAACACAATAAAGTGTTCTGGAATTCTCATTATTCTCAAGGTTATCATAGTGTATGACCCACACACTTGAATACCTTGGCATTATCAATAAAACACAAGCAAACATCTTTCTATATTCTGCTTTGAGCCAAGATCCAACGGACGTCAGCAATGATCTCCCTTATACTATGTCTTTTTCTAAATCCAGTCTGAACCCTGACAGTTCGCTGTCAGTGTACTGCTTCAGATGTTGTTGCATGATCTTCAGCAACATTTTAGTTGCATGTGATATCAGTGATACTGTTCTATAATTTGAACATTCTGTTTGGGTCACCTTTCTCTGAAATGAGTAAAAATGTGGACCTTTTCCAGTTAGTTGGTCAAGTAGCTATCTTCCACATTTCCTGACATAGGCAAATGAGTGCCTCCAGTGCTTCATCAGCTTGTGTAAACATTCCAATTGGTATTCCATCAATTCCTGGAGCCTTATTTGGTAACACAAGTTTAGTAAGCTAGTCTTTGTTTATATCAGAATAGACTAAGGTAAGAGGCTCTTAACCCCTCCCCTGAGACTGATATTACGAATTATTATTCTTAATTTATTCTAAATCGTTTATGTGAGTTGAAGCAATAGGAAGAGTTGCTCTGAAATGGAATTTAACCAAAAGTACCAGAGTTGTTGACATGATAAGGGTCTAGACTGGCTGTTTTATGGTCTTTAAGGCTCAGGTTCAGGGCAACTCTGAAACAAAACAAAGCAGCCAAGAAACAAAACAGCAAAAATAAGAAAAGGTTGGGGCCATCCTGCCAGTCAAAATCAAGTCTGGACATTGTTTACTAATTAATTAACTTTAGAAAAACCCTGCTGCACATGGGCCCCTTCTATAAAGTTAGACACGTTGGCAGCTGTAAACACAAACTATCAGACTATGGTGTGTTTTAGACTACAACTATATTGCATAGATTAAGGTTTTAAAGGAATCTTACATATATTCCTTTACTGATTTTAAAGTCATGTTAACCATTTTAATAGAAAATTTTCTTGATTTAAGGGCTTGTGTACTTCCCAACACAAAATCAACCCTACATTGCTTTATAGCATTTCAAGACTAATTGGGTATAGCGTATCTAACCTGTGGTCTTGTGAAAGAAACATTTAACTGGGCCACTAGACTAGGTTTCTAGTTACATGCCTGTAGCTAACTAGTATTGTAACTTACAGCATTGAAATGACTTAGCTCCAGTCTTCTTGTTTTTATTAAGAAGGAATTTAACCAGATGACCAATAATGCACATTCTTGCCGTATATTTTTCATGAAAATTTTCCCGATTTTATTCTGTTACTAGTGAGCACGGTCTTTTACCACATTCTCTATACCTTCTAATTCTTTTACAATTTTTTGTTGCATTTATTTTTTGTGATTTCATTACCTTAGACTATAAGCCATTTAAATTTGTGGCTCCAGTAAAATGCTTGAATGGCAGTTCTATACAAATATAACTATTGATTCAGAATTTTGTAAAAATCACTGATTTACTTAACAGTTAAATATTAGCATTTAATGTTGATAACTAGGCTTAGTGTGAGTCAAATATTTAATTGTCAAGTGTATGTATGTAGTTTTAATGCTTTTGATTTATCACATTGAATTATATTATTTTAGTTTTAGTACTTTATATTTCCATGTAAAATACACTTACCTGAGTAATTATTATATTAAGAATAATAGAGATTTCATAATTTATATAGAAACATTGGATGTGCTACATTCAGTTTATAATTTCTCTTAAAATAATTATTTTCTTACATAGGTTTTTTCCCCATTAGTATAAAACCCACGTGTCATATACTTTCACAGTTAAGTTGATTTTTAAAAGAGTTGCATGTACATCATCAGACTCATTTCTAGGGGACTCTTCCCTGTTCATTATTTGCTTCCCGATTCCATTGAACTTCCCCACCTCATCTTCTGATAAGCTATTACATCCATTACTAAGATACCAGGATAATTATTTTATGATGTAGGTACCAGGTGCTTTCACTGGGATACTTTGAATAAACTTATTGGGCATCTATTTCTAAGTTGACTTTATTCCTCTCGATTTTAGACACATTACCCAGGTTTTCTACTCCCATAAAGAGTTAGTCTCTGAAACCCACAGGGGCAATACGACAAGGTTGCTATGAGTTGCTATGAGTCCAAATCAACTCGATTACAATGAGTTTTTGTTTTTGAGGGGTTCTCTCGGGCAGGGCCGTCAAACTAGTGGCCGGTGGGCCGCATGCGGCCCCCGAGGTAATTTTTTTGGCCCATGATGCTCTGAAATAAAATGTAACGATAAATTGTGTATATGATATTGCCCCGATCTCCCCTCAGTGCTATTTTCTTCATAATAATTTTTTTCTATTTTCATTCTGTTTTTCTATTGTATTTCAGAGCATGACGGAACTAAAGGATTTACTGACTTTTAAAAGAAAATTCAGTTATTGTGTATCTCTTTGCTTATTGGCTTTCTTTGGTGTATTTTCCAGGTGATGACTGCAAGCAGGACAAATAAACTCAAGAGATCCAGGCGATTGGGTACTTGTTATTTGCAACAATTTAAGGGTCGGTATATCAAGACAGTTGGCAACAGAAAATGAAAAGTAGTGTGGCACACATAAAAGTAAGTATTTACAGCCTATAATAAAGTAAACTTGCAGTCCGTTTCCTAATCTTTAAACAAATGACATCTATATCATTGTACCACTAGAACCATCCAATAGAGATTATACTTGCATTTATTTAATGGACACAGTTTCAAATGTACATACTTGGCCAGCGAGAGTAAGAGTGGACAAGAGAGCATTCAGTGTATGTGTGTATGCATGCATTAGTGCCTGCACAAATCCAGGACATGCGTGTGAGTAAGCATATGCAAAAGAAAAAGAAATTACAGAACTTTACAGCCTACTCTTCTGAGTGAACAGGAATTGAAAGACGGATTCTCCTCCTTTGCTTGGTCTCACTTTCCACATGTTGTGCCAGTGGAACATATTAATGCCCATTTTATATTCATAAATGAGCTTTTTACTCTGATTTATTTTATGCACTGTCCATTCATCTAGTCAGCATGTATTTATTGAATTCTTAATATGTCCAACTCACTGTCCTTGGTACTTTATTTGGGTAAAACAGGAAAAAGAGAAATAAATCTTTGTTCTCATGGAATTTCCATCCTAGTTGATTTTAACATTCTTTAAGGAGGGGAAAGTAGGAACCATTGAGAAGTAGCCGTTTGGACAGAGACAAAGAAATGAAGGAGTTAACTGTTTAGCTCCCTGCAGGAAGAGTGTGCCAGGCAGTGAGAACAGCAAGCACAAGGGCCAGATGCTAAGTATGGCTGGTGCAGCTTATGAAAAAGAACGTTAGGAGATGAGGTCAGAGCAGCAAGAGGGACCATTGACTCCATCTGTTTTCAGAACTGTTCCTCTGCCTATGAGTGGACTTGTTTGAAGAGAAAGCCAATCCATTTCCTTTTCAACTACACGGGTCTACATTGTCACCCCCATCCACCACTTCTTGGGCCTAGAGATCAGTAAAGAGGAATATGTATTGTGTGATTGTTGATCCACAAATAAATGTAACCATTCCTCCTTTCCTCCTCTATCATCTGCCTCATAAAAGGTTCTCCTTAAGGAGAACCAGTAGACTGAAGTTCTTTGACAGTTGGCAACTGGTGCATGGCTTGGTTTGTAGAGAGTTCTTAATAGACTGAAAAAATAGACCTGTGGACTAAGGCAGGTCTCCATGCTGCTATCCTTTCTACCTTCTATTGTCAGGTAGCCTCTGCTAGTGTATTTCCACTGGGTGATGGTAGGTGGGTTTCTTAAGAAGGCTCCATCTGTGACTAGATAGTTTCATCTATTAAATCTGACTCTTTGGGACTCACTCATTGGTCCAGTGTCACATTAACAGTTAAACTTATCCAGGGCAGCCTAGTAGATGACACGCTCTGTATTAGAACCTGGACTCATAAAGACAAAGGTGCTCCTTTGCAGAATGGAGTCTCAACTCTGTCATGTTAGATGAAGAGATGCTGTCTTTCTCAGAAGCTTTTTCCTGCTGCTCTAGTACCTGATTCTCCGGGTTCACTCATGATTTTGGTAGTCCTCTTTAGAGCGTACCCCCGCCCCCAATCTAAGAAGGGGGCTGTTTTTAATCAGCTTGATCTTCTCAGCTAATTTTCATGTAATCTTGCCTCTTTTCCTTCACTCTGTTACCCGCAAACATTTCCACTTGCTTATTCATTTCAGGTCTATTCTGACCTCATTGAAACTCCGATCTTTTCTTGATGTCCTAAGGACACATCTGTTTAGGATCATGACACTTCGATTGAGGATTCGCTAGGTGTGTTTGTTGTTCCTTGAGCCTTATTGTAGCTTCCTTAGCTAGATAAAAGCAAGCTCCCTGCTTGTTCTACTCCTTTCTCTAGATTTTGAAAACTTGTCCCCTGAGCCCAGCAGATGCTCACAGCCTTCTGTTCAGGCTTACTGTTCCACTCACCTTCTCACATGTGTCCTATAGCTGAAATTGTGTATGCAAAACCCTATTGTTTTGTTTAATGAACAACAGAATTTTTAATGGGACTCTTGACTGTATATTATCTATTATGCTAGCTTATACTCTAAACTTCATGATAAGGGACATGAAGAGACTCAGGATATTTCGGTCACACCCAGAATGGCTTTCAACAATTTAGTGAGATCCTAAATCATCCACGAAAGTTCAATTGACATCCTTCCCCCAACATTATCACATAGTTCCTGCACCTTGGTGATTGCTTACTACTGTTAACGCTTATTCTCTGTGCCAGTCACTTGTACTTGATCGCATTAACACAATCCTTCTTCTGATTCACAGCTTCAATATTTTAGGTTTCTCCCTCTTGCTCACAGCATGCTGCGGAGATGTGCTAAAAGTCATTGGCACAGACTTGAGGCCCTTTTCCCTCATATAATCAAAATAATTGCACTGCCTTGTAAAAGAAAAAAGCAGGCAGTGCAGTTTCATCGTTCTCTCTCCTCACCTTTGGAATGCATAATCTGATATTTACAGTTGTGGAATCTTTATAATTGTCTCTCTCTTAACAATATCATAAGTGCACTGAGATCCCTCCTATCATTTGTATCCTTCAGAGTTATCCGCACAAGAAGGATATTGCTGGCAATAAGTGATGAGGAAATACTGTGATTTCTGCTACCAATTTCAATTAAGTGAATCGTGTACATATTTGGTTTTGGATCTTGAAAGTTTTATGTAGCCCTACATTGTATGTATTGAACACTTAGACATTGTGTTGCTAGGTAAAATAATTTTTAAAATTTTCTTAAACACATTCAAAACAAAATTTTGATATGGTTGCATTTAGTATAAAATAGCCAAATCATGACTACTTTAAATCATAAATTTCAATTACGTTTATTTTGGTGTTATCACAACCCGTCGCTGTCAGCTCTGGTTCCAGCACCGCCATGTGTGTCACATAGAATGGTACTCCATAGAATACCAGTGGCAGATACATTTTCAGAAGTGGACTTCCAAGGAAACCTGTCTTCTGAGATATAATAAGTCCTCGCAAACCTCCAATCTCAGTAGTTTGACTGTTTTGGCAATTGTAATGGTGGACTCAAAACTGCTATTACTTTGGTGGCCCTAATGCCAGAGCAAGTGAGAGCTTGTTTACATCCCTGTGCAGATTAGTTTTCTGTTTTTAAATGCTTCTGCTTCCTGTTAAAGTAGACAAGCATATAAATGTGCAAACCAAGTTATTTTTTACCTTATATTTCAAGACAAGGTCATTTAGCAAATATACTCCCACCCCTTTGCTTTCTTGCTATAGTTACTTTAATTCTTAGAACACAAGCAAAAGCATGTCAATCTGAGTATTGGCTAGTTGCATTTAAAATTGACTATAGGGGTAAATACTTTGGTTTCTTTCATTTGATTTGTTCATTAGAATAATGTTCTCAAACTGTATTTTCTGTATCTTTGTAGTGGTACCTTGAAGTTATTTATTTCTGTGTCTGTTTTCCAAAGAAACTGGCCTCACACCTGTACCTTGACAGTGTTTCATTCCCTTTAACAAAGTGCCATCCATATGTGGCAGGCACTCAAAACAATGCTGACTGAAAACAAAATGAATTTTGGTAAATATGTGTCTTTAATAGAGAGGGTTGTTTTTTTTCCTGGATGCTTGTTTTAGTGTAGATTTAGTAACCTACACGAAAATTTGGTTTTCAAACCAAAGGAAGTAAGGAGGGAAAATAAAATGTGAACATATGCAAAAGTCCGCTCTTACTGGAAAACACGTGGCCTTTGATTTTTGTTTTCCAGGAGAAGCTCTATTCAAAAGCTGTTCTGTATAAATTTATACTTTAGTACCTAGGAGGAGAATGTGAACTGGGGAGCACTGAAATTTGAGAATTTCATCCTACCTTGCATTTTTGTTTCAGGGAAAAAAATAAATGACCCATGATGAAAACCGACATTATCTGTGATGCAGTTCTGTTAATGTGAATTATCTTTAAGTTTAAAATATGTTTTGAAATAATTTCTAAAGCACTTTGTATCTTCTCAGGTACATATTTCCTTGTCTGTTTTTTTTTTAAACATTGCAAATAAAACTTGAAATGCCTCCTCTGCTTTTTCCCCTTGAAAGCATTCTTCTGGTCATGACAGAAGGGAAAACTATAATTCATATCAGAGGACCTCCTCTCCAGAAGACAGGTAAACACTTTGATTTGTTCTGAAATGAAAATATTTTTATAATAGATTTGTAATAAACAATGGAAATATATTTATTATGTTTATTATAAGTAAATTTATAATAAAACACTGGGAAGTTTCTATAATAAATGTGAGAAGTAACTGAGCTCATAGGCCCCTGATTTTAGGATGAACAAGTTCCTTTTCATGGTTTTACAGCCGGTTTGCTTCAATAAGCTTTAGGTGGAGTTTGCAGGGGTAGCAGCAGTGGGCTCAGACATAACAGCGGTTAGGAGGCTGGCACAGGATCAGGCCGGTGTTGGTTGTTCTGTTGGACAGAGGGTCGCTGTGGGAGGAGCTGACTCTATGGCACCTGGCAACAGTGGAGGAATTCGCCTTGAACTCCTTGTTCCAGGAGTTTCCAGTAAATAGCTTTGGGAATTTTATAATATGTCAGGTGTTGAAGCATCGTTTGAATAGCCCAAATACTAAGTACAGTGGAAGTTGGTGAATAGAAAACTGAGTTGAAATTACAGTATTAGAAGGTTGCTTCTGCTGTTAACTACTATCTTTACATAGTTACATATTTATGAGATATTTTTATATACATTTATCGTGTTATGGTCATAGTTCATAAAATGCTACCACTAATGTGCACCATGCATTTGTATTAGAACTTCATTTATGCTCTGTTGTAAGCTAAGATCATTAAAAGGGACTTATCAAGGGGGAATCCTTCTCTAAACTTGCTTCTAGTCTTCTGGCTTCTTCTGAATTTCCTACATAGTTTTTATTTCACTTTGCTAAGTAACTGTAAAATCCTTTGTTTTACAACCATCATATTGATTGTTATGGTTTGATACCAGCTACATGATACATTTATATGAGTAAATTATTGTAGATCTATGTATGTTCTCTGATTTTATTGACTTTGAAGATTTAAACAACTCATGTGATGCTCTTTTTACATCCTAATAGAGTAAATCTATTCTCATTGCTGTCTTGCTAATGTAATTTGAAGAATAGCAGTTGATGAATATAGTTTTTTAGGATGGAGTTAAACTAGTGAATGACATTGGTCTCGTTTGTATTATGGTCCAGTAAAATGGGCTCATTATGCAAAAGAAGTCATTAATAGGACGATTTTTTGCATACTAAGTACATGTGATAACCAGATATAGTAGGGGGCTTCAGAGAGTTTATGGAAAAACTGGAATCGAAAGATGACAGACTTTTGAAGCCCCTTGTATGTCTTCTCTGAACGAGTGTGTTTTAAGTGAATTCCAGGAATCGTTTGTCACAATCTGGGAGCTGTGGGAATCATGATTGCATTGTCAGCAAAATGAGTTGTTTGTTGAAAACTGTTAAACACTATTTGACGAGTTGTTCAGTCATAAGGTTGCTTTAGCACATTACCAATGTATGACTTTTTAAAACTAAATATTTAACTAACAATGTGCAATTTTATTTTCCTGTTTTATATGTTAGATATGCAGAACATGAAAGATCCCCCCGGGACAGAGATTACTCTGATTACAGATCAGACTATGAGTATTCAAGAAGAGGACGTTCTTATGATAGTGGCATGGAGTCACGGTTAGTACTGAAATTTTAACTATAGCAAAATTGTTTTCGTTTATGCTTCATGGTAGCAAAATAGTAGCAAAATGGCAGCTAGCTTTTATTGGATATTCTTAGGCACCAGCCTAATTTAGATTTCATGTGGATTAACCTTTTATTGTACGTAATAATTATGTGAAGCACACAGTGTTATATTTCTAGCTTACAGCTAACAAAACTGAAGCCAAGTGAAACTGAGTAATTTCTTCATGTTTATGAAGCATGTGGCAAGCCCCTGTCTGTCTGACTCCAGGGCCCCAGCTGTTAATCATAATTCTGTACTGTGTTAAGAGTTGGCGCATGCGGTATTTTGAGATCTGTACTGAATGAAAGTAAATAATTTGTGACACAGAATGATTAAAATTTAGTTTCCTGCGTAATAGCCGAGAAACTGTAAATGGTGTTAGTATTCTGGAGTTATTTTCCTAAATAAACATGATTTTCACTTGACTCTCGGAAAACTCGACTGCTAACAGGACCTACCGAACTTAACTGGTGGGGAGATGGGCAAGGAAACTGAAGTGAAGGCAGGTAAACCTTTTTTGTAAGCAAAAAAACTAATAGATTGATGTTTGGAAACCCTTACAGGTGATATTTAAGACAAGTCAGAAGTAAGCATCATTTATTTTTTTAATTGAAAACTATGTGGAGTGTTATAATTTCTTGTTATTAGTCTATATTTATTGTCATTTCTTTTTCTACCTTGGAGGAATCAGTATGATTTTTACAATTGTAGATTCTTGTATATATAAGAACATTAGCAAGAAGCATACAAACCTCACTAAAGGGCCAAATTAAATGGGGGGAAAATGGGTCTGGAGAAGGAAATCACCAGATGGAAGCAGTGGTAGCATAAAGGAAAGTTAGATGAGCAGTGACCTGGGAGGCTAACGGAAGGAAAATATTCCTCTTGACTTTGCTATTTATTAGTCTTCTATTTTCAAAAGCTTGCTTCCCACATTCTAATTCTTTCCCAATTCTATATCCTTCTGATGTGTATCACATTTTACTCACCTCATGACTACCAGGACCATACCTCCCACAGAAGTTTGATCAACTTCTCTATCAGCTTCGAGCTCAGCAATTTTTTAGAAAAAATGTTTGCCACCCAAATTATCTAACTATCAGTTGAAATTAACTACACTAAAAAGCCAGGCTTAGCTACTATTCCCTTGATAAGAACAACTGTTAACATTATTAATTGGATGCCTATACATATTCTTTCTGTGCTAGGTATTTTGCATACTTTTTCAAATGTTCTTACTAAATAGATACTATTACTCCCAATTTGCAAATAAGGAAATGTATTTAAAGGGATGAAGCAGCTTCCCTGAGGTTGCAGTTGACATAATTGATATATGATCCAACTCGAATTTGAACAGTTTTACCTGACTCCAAAACCCATACACTTTGCACACCTGTGGAAGTATACTGAAGTTATACTTGAGTATAACTCTGAGTGGCACATTATAGATGCATGTAGTCCCATTTTGAAAGCCCTGCTAGTACAAAGGTTATGCATTGAGCTCCTGAACAAAAGGTCATCAGTTCACAACCACTAGCTGCTCTGTGGGAGAAAGACAAGGCTTTCTACTTTCATTACAGTCTTGGAAACTCACAGAGGCATTTTTACCCTGTTCTGTAGTGTCACTGTGAGTCAGAATTGCCTCTAGCAGTGAGTTTGAGTTTTGAGAAACTTTGATTTTATCCTAACAGTCATACTGCGAGGTGAACAGGCTGTGTATTTTGGTAGAATGTAAAGGTTAACAGTCCAAAAGAATCTGAAGGGAAATATTTCTATTTAGAATCAATTAAGATATTATTGTTTCTAGACTGTAAAGAAGCAAGCACAATTAATCTAAGGACATGATTTGACCAGATAGCCAGTTGCCTTACCTGATGTTTCTTAAGAGAATCATACCCCATGTCAATTCTGCACTGCCGTGGCTACCTCTGGGAGCATGGGATGTGCAGAGTAAGTGGCAGTTGAGGTGCCAATTTGTGCCTTTTATTTGGAACACCTACCCTTTGGATCAGGAGCCCTAGAGGCATAGTGGTTATGTGTTGGGCTGCTAACTGCAAAGTCAACAGTTTGAAATCACTAGCTTCTCCCAGGGAGAAGACGAGGGTAAGTTAATTGTCTTGGAAACCCACAGAGGCAGTTCTATTCTGTCTTAAAGGGTCACTGCAAGTCGAAATTGACTTGAGGACAGTGAGCATACAGCCCTTCCGACTAATTGCAGTGTATATTTAAATAACCCCAGCCCCCACCTTTCCGTACCCTTTCTTACAATCTACCGACTGTCTTCACTGACCGTCACGCAGGTCTCTTTAAACCTTCGTTTCAAAACTGCTCCTCTGCAGCTGCCCCAGAGATTGACTGTTTTTCTTTCCATGTTGTATTTCTAAGTATTAAGGGAGATATCTCAAAGATATCTTTCAGATTTGGCTAAAATGGTGCAGCAGTAACGTTAAACTTATTTTTGTGTACTGTATTCATATAGCATCCTAATGGTGCTGTGAGTTAGGCATTGGTCTGCTGATTTCAAGGTCAGCAATTCAAATGTATCAGCTGCTCTTGTGGAGAAAAGTGAGGTTGTCTGCTCCCATAGAGATTTACTGTTTCTGAAATCTTACATGGGGTTGCTGTGAATCAGAATTGACTCAATGACAGTGAGTTTGGTGTACTTGGTATATATAACTCATAGTTTTCCAAAACCTGGGGAGAAGGTGCTCCGAGTATCCAAGACATTCAAGAAAATGGTTACGTGGACAAACTGCTCTGGAAAAAGATAGTAGAAAAAAAGGACTTGCTCTTTCTCATATTCCTGTTGGTTTCAGAGAACAAGACTGTTTCTTTTTAAAGAGTTCATTTAATAAAGTGTTCAGTGTGTAAGTTCATTTGAGGCTAGAAAATGCTTGCTTTTGATTTTTTTTCAGATCATTGTCAGATAAACCGAAAGCTTCTGCTGTCTTGAGATTTCTAATAAAGGTGCAACATTATATTTTATTAGAACAGTCTTATTCCTAAATTGCTTTTGTTACTGTTGCCATTTTGTTGTTGTTGCTCTCATGGCAGCCATATATATGGACAATAGAACAACACATTGGCCACCAGGTCTTCCATCACTTGTTGGTTCACCTAGGAGACTCATCTGCCAACACTTTCTAGGTTTTCGTTAGCTAATTTGTAGAAGTAGCTGGCATGGCCTTCTTCCTCATCAGTCTGAGTCTGGAAGCTTCACTGAAATCTGTCCATCTTCTGGTATTTGCAATACATGTGATACAGCTTCTAGTATGAAAAGATTGTCTTTATTGGAGAGAAACTATTGATTCTCTGTTTTGTATTTTTTACTATCCATTGCAGGTTAATTTGTCTTACTATTTTCCTGTCATTCTCCCATTTAGACACTTCTAATGATTCATGACTGTGTCCTATATATATATATACATGTATACACACACACAGATGTACTCTGGTGTTTGTCTTTAATATTTCTATGTCTTGACACCAACTAATTTTTCCACTTTTCAATATACAGTATGCCGTTCTTTATTGTTTCCTGATTATTCTATTCATTCTAAGGAGCCCTGGTGCACAGAAAGTTAACAGCTCAGCTGCTAACTAAAAGATTGGGAGTTTGAACTCACCCACTGATTCTCTGGGAGAAAAACCTGGAAATGGGCTTCTGTAAAGGTGATTGCATGTGAACTCCAGTGAAGCAATTCTCCTGTGTCGCATGGGACCGTAGTGAGTGAGAATTGACTGGATGCCCCTAACAGATACCACATGATCTGGCCCAAACACTTCGCTTTCACTGATTAGTTCTTCTGCTGCTGCTTTCAGAAGACTCTTCGCTTCATCTCTTTGCCCCTAATCTAAGTCCTATGAAAACTTCAAACTTTACGAATCCTGTTGCCATCAAATTGGTTTGTACTCATAGGAGTGCTGTACGGTGGGCTTAGAACTACCCCGTTGGTTTCCAAGACTGGACTCTTTCAGGAAACAGAGTGGCAGCTCTTGCTTTCATGGAAGGGCTGGAGTGTTCCAACCACTGACCTGTTGGTTAGCAGCTGACCATGGAACCTTCCTCAGTCGAGTGTTATTTTTTCTGTAGAGCACTTCGTCAGTATCCAAACCGCTTATCCTAGAATTTGTGGACCTACTTGTGCTCTCATTCATCTCATGTACAGTTCATTTTAAGAAAATGTATATTTTTGTCTTTTCTCCATTAAAAAAATATTAATATTACAGAAGTAGAGATCGAGAGAAACGCAGAGAGAGAGAAAGAGATATGGATCGGAAAAGGTTCCGGAAATCCCCATCTCCTGGAAGAAGGAGCCCAGAGCCATCCTTAACCCACAGTTCCTCTGCTCAGGATGAACCTACTTCAAAGAAGAAGAAAGATGAACTGGATCCTCTCCTTACTCGCACTGGTGGAGCTTATATTCCTCCTGCAAAGCTCCGGATGATGCAAGAACAGATTACAGATAAAAGCAGGCATGTTGATCTTACTAAGTACAGTAGTCCCCAATTTGCAGTGGGTTCTGTTTTGATGACTGTTGTAAGTTGGTTCTGACTTAGTCAAAACCACAGAATTTTGAACATCTGGGAATGAAGATGAGTCTGATAATAACATCAGCCAATTTCAGGTGGAACATTGCATGCAGTGCATATTACTAATAGTAAAGTTGTACAGAAAGCCCCAAAAGAAACTATCATATATGCAGTGTGTCAAACTTGGATGTGTCATAATTCAGGGCTAACGCTGCAAAGCAAAGATAACCTGTTTTTAAAAAGAAAGTGTATGGTTTGATTAACTTTACTAGTTGAAAATGTATGTTAGTTCGAAAAAATAAAAACTTAAAGCTAGCGACTTCTTTCTAACTTAACTTCACAAGGCCCAATGAAGCTGTATATACTATTTGTCCTGGCATTAACCCATCACTTTTAATTTTTTTTTTGGCAAAAATGAATTTAAAATTTTGAAGAATATCACTTGCCTTTAAATGGTTTTCAAACTCTTTCATAGTTGAATGCAGAATCTTTTGTTTATAGATCACGAAAAGTACTATTGATAGTGAAGACCTCAAATGGCTTTTTACAGTTGTACTAAATCAGAAACTGACAAAGATTTTCTGTTAAATGAATATTTTAAAAAAATAAAAAAAAAGTATATCGTCCTCTTGCATTCCGATGGTATGGCTGTAATGTAAGATGTGCTGTTATGTAGATGTATTCTTTAACATACTTCACACATTTGCAGGCTGTGGTTTCATTTATTTTCTTATAATTCTTATTTATTTATAACTTAAAACCCTTTATTTTTTCTAGTCATTTTTTTGAGAAGGGTCATAAAGTTGCCTGTTTATAGCTTATATTTTGGCATTTCGCTTTGTAGTGTGTTTACAAAAAAAATTGATGTTCTTTTAAATGATTTCCTTTAAAGATAACGTTAAATAAGCATTATATGTAAAATAAGCATGTATTGATGCTAACTAATAAATGTTACAAGTTAAAGTGTACATCATAGGCTTAAGAAAAAAACACTATCCCGATCATTTATGTTATTAAGAAAGGAGTCGTCTCTAGTTAAGAACCACAGATAAAATTGGGTTGGGTTTAGAATTTAATCTGCTTCCTTTAGGTACCTATATTTTACTGTACTTTTGAGTCATTTTATTGGAAAATAATGTGGAAAGTAAAGAAACACTCAAGTATATTTTATGTTCTTATTATAACTCTTATTACTGGCTTTTTCACTAAATTTTATCCGTATTGAAATCCTTTTTCTTTTATTTTTTTTAGCTTAGCATACCAAAGGATGAGCTGGGAGGCACTAAAGAAGTCAATCAATGGTCTTATCAACAAAGTCAATATTTCTAACATAGGTATTATTATTCAAGAAATTCTCCAAGAAAATATAGTGAGAGGAAGGCAAGTGTCATCTATTTTATGTGTAGTATTTCATTGTATTGTTTCCAAGGAACATGAACAGTAATGCCTGATTTGTTGTGCTACTTCATTTCAAAGGTAGCTGAGAATATTTAATAGACAATTAAACATTTTCTTTCTACTTGAGCCCTTGGTATTAGCTCATTTTTCCCACCCTCTCCCCCCTTCCTTCATAATAGGTTTTCTACAGACATTTATTTATTGATTATCTAAAGTCAATTCATTAGAAATAATAATCCGTTAGGAATAATTATTACTACAAAGTAGAGAAAGCAACAGAGCTACTTAAACCAGTTTAATTTCCAATAGAGCCAAAATGAAAATATAAGAATAAAATTTATCTTCAATAAATTTTAGAAAAGGTGGTGGGTAATGATTTACTATTTCCTGTGTGTTTACCAATTGGTGACATTTTAAACAACCAGGAAATAGAACTAGTCTCTCTGTTATTTGGAGCCTCGTGGCATCATGGTCAAACACTCACCTGATCACTGAAAGGTTGAAGGTTTGAACCCACTACTAGCTCTGTGTCAGAAAGATGTGTTTGCCTCCATAAAGACTGCAGCTTTGTAAACACTCTGGGCAGTTCTACCCTGTAGTGTTAGTGTGAGTTGCAGTCAATTAGATGGCAATGAATTTTATGGTCTATGTTACTTTTTTATGTGTATATGCGAAAGCTCCTCCCATATCATTTCCCATTGCTCTGACTTAACGATCTCAGAAAACGTTGATTAGGGTTTTAAGGTCCGACATAAAGCATGCTGTCAATGAGGTCAGCAAAGATACAGAAAATTGTCCTACTAGCCACTCCATTTTACTTTCAAAGAAGGAGGCTTACGAAAGGTTTATGATTTGCACGAGGTGTTAAAACTTGTAGGCCGAAGGACCACAGTTGAACCCACTTCTTGATTCAATGTTCTTAACTCCCAAGTTGCCCTACTGTGAAGAAGAGGGCATTATGTGGGACGAGGGACCCTTCTTCTTTTTTTTTTCTTTTTCCTAATAATTTTATTAGGGGCTCATACAACTCTTATCACAATCCATACACACATCAATTGTGTAAAGCGCATTTGTACATTCATTGCCCT